TCTGAGACTTTTTGTGTGCAAACAATTAGTTTAGTCACATTAAGAAGGAAGCAATACCAGAACAATAACAACCGCAAAGTTGGGTTCAAATGGTGTTGCAACCACTACTGAAGACATTGTGCCTTGGTTTAAAAAAAAAAGAAAAAAAAAGAAAAAACAAAAAGGCATGCAATTTCCTTTTCTTTCCCTTCCTTTTCTGTGTGTATTTATGTTTAACTCAGGGCAAGAATTTTCTATTATTCTTAAAGGAAAAAGTAGAAATAAAAAAAGGCATGAATTCATGAAAGCATGGGTTTATATATAGGCATTCTCTGTAAATGAACACAAACACTGTGTATTCTAGGTAGAACAACCTTGTTTGTCTGCTCATACGCATTTCAGTTACCTCCATGCACTCCCACTTGTCTTACCTTTTTATATATGAACTGAATGTATTGTACCATGTTCTCTGTTCGAACCGTGTGTGCCTGATGCATAAAACACGACACAGAGCAGCAAGGTTTTTTCCTACCATCTGTGTTAAATCACCAGTCATTCAAGCTTTGTTCTCGTGGTTGGCATCATTTCACCAGAATCTCTCGATGTTTGTATAGCCTTATACAGTATATTGCACTTACTGTACCTGTATAGTATCTTGTCTGTATACTGTATGCACATAAATATGTATATTCACTCATGTATGTATGTATAGTATGTTTATATATCTATGTATATGTATGTGTGTTTGTTCATAGTCTTTTCACTAGAAATGTGTGGCTATTCATATACATTATGTGTATGCCAAGTATAAAAAGAAGTATGAATGCCAGCACTCACTTTTGATAACTTACTTTTATTCTCATTTTGTCTTGTTAAACAATGAAAATAAAAATCTCATGTATTTTAAATGAAAACTTTAAAAGATGGTTATTTTTAGTCATTTTAAATTTTCCTGTTCTTCAAAAAAAACATATTAATAGCCTTGAATCTGAAGATATTTGTGTTTCTCTGGAGTGCTTTCTGTGGTTGAAAAATATTTGATAATGGCCATGGTCTGCCCTTTGGTTTCCTCCTGTCTTATGCTGGTCAGCTGTCTGTAGGTTTAGATATGGCCTCAACCAGCTGGGCTGTCCTCCGTCAAACACCACCTCTGCTCCCAGAGGGGCTCCAATAAGTCTGAGGGATGACCCATGTCCATAAAGTCTTGCACATAGAAATACTGGCTGGACAAGGGCCTCTTTCAGTCTGGAAAGACAAGTCTCTCCAGTGCAGCTGAGCCTTAGAAGCTCATGAAAATATCTACTTTATGAGTCTGTTTTATAAGGATGTTACAGAGCTGGTTTCAGATTACCTCTTTGTAGGACATGGCAAATATACAGGGATTGATTAAGCATTTATTAGAACAGCTATCAACCATTTGTTAGCCCTTTGGAAAGCTAATCAGCAAACAACTGCAGGTAGACTCAGCCACCTGACCTTGACCTGGCAGAGCATAGGCTTATCTTCAAGCACCAAAGTGTCCCTCTAAATCAAGAGGCCATTTAATATATCTTTTCCAGTTGAGAATATCTAGGTTCTTCATTGAACTGGAGCTTCTGTTATAATCATATGTGTTTCTGTGTGAGACCTCATTATTTGGAGGAGTGGAGGATTTGCTTCCTTTTAATGTTAATATTATGATCTTATCATCTTGTCCAGCCAGAGGAGTCGCTGTGGATAGTAAGCTGCTGCAGCAGAGTGACAGCAACTAGTAGGAAAAATGTTAGAAGACACATTTTTACACAGGAAACACTAAGGAAATTTTAGCGTGACCAAGCCACTGTTAGGAAGAGCCTTCACCCCAAATAAAATCACATAATGAAAAATCCTTTTCATTTTTTTTCTTTAAATTTACAGGATTAAATTTCTACCTCACACAGGACAACAAATTCCTGTTTCTTTCATAGTCAGCAAATGAAAAGTCCAAGGACTGTTTTTTCTCAAAAAAAAGAATAGGATGGGGAAAAAGTACATTTCATTAATCAAGCTTGGTGTTTATGTGCCAGTGGCCTGAACTTAAGCCTTTTCAAGTCAGTGGTAAATAATACAAATGTACTCATGGGTTGGGTCTTTAAGGCCTATGTCCTTTTAACACTGTAGAAAAGGACATTTAGACTCTGGGGTTTATAATCATCAATTTTATAAATTACAACAGGGTCAAAACAGAAAGTAGTGAAGATGAGAAAATACAATAGCATTATCCCTTTTTATTATTATTAACAATCAGATGATATCCTCCTCTTAGATTTCTGCATCTACACAAACATGACAGAGAAAAACAACTTTTCTTTGCTGCTTAGCCAAGTTTTTCATATGTTACAGGTAATGTGTGTGAGTAGATTAATGTGAAGTTGAATATTTTGTCATTGTCATGTCATATTTAGTCATGCTTAGCCCTTCCTTTTCAGATAGATACTTAAATCTTAGTTTTGGAAACCTGAGCTTGAATTGCACCCCGAGTGCTATGTGTACCCCAATGCTATGTGTACCCCCCGTGCAGAAGGGGGACAGGCTGTTCATCTGCATATGAGCTTTAGGATACAATTAACGTGGTTTAGATTAAGAAACACAAATCACAGGTGTTTTATTCTGTGGCTGGGGGTACCGACTCATAGGCAGGGCTTGCTGGAGGGGTCATTGTAGGCATCGCCTCAAACTTTGTGAGTGTTTTAAGACAAACCAGTTCAGAGCTGCTACATGACACATGCAGTAGAGAAGCACCATCACAAATGAAACACGGACAGCCAGGTTTAGTAGCCCCTTCTGAAGCCTTAGAGAAGTCTGAAACCTGGCAAGTGTTACTCAGCCGGTGCTGTACTGTGAAATGTGTTTGCAGGAAAGCTCTGCATCGTTTAACATTGGCCAAGTTTGGGTATTCTTCCTTTGTCTCCCATAGTTGACCTAACACAATACTGAATTTTGCTTTCTATTTTACAGTAAACAAAAGGATGTATCATGGTGGGTTGCCTGAGCTCTGTGTTTATGGCTTAGCAAAGCTAAGCTTAAGCTTTGAATCTTCCTGAGTAGCCTCACCAAGAATGCACTTTGTGATGATCCACTGCTCAAGTGAGAGGCATGAGACAGCTTTGCACAACATCCTGAATAATAGCTGCTCTACAAACTCTTATTCTAAAAAATACCAGCTTTTATAAGAAGTGTTAAGTAAGAGTCGGTCAAGCAGTACATTTCAGACAGCTGTCTGCTGTAAAAAAGTAGTTTAGATAAGAATACATATATCCAAATATGTCAGTAATGCAAAGTTGGGAGGCTCCTCTGCTGCACCTAGGGCTAGTATGAAACTGGAATGAAGAAAGGTAAATTATTAAGATTTGCTTTATGGAAAGCCTCAGCAGGAGCCTCAGAATAAGTGAAAATTTTGAGGTGTAGTCCTACGTGCAGTGCTGATGCTGTATAAAGTACTAGACATCCAGTAATTGGAAACAATGAATAACGAAGCTGGAGGGCTGGAATCAGAGATGCTAAATTGTTTACAAACAATTTGCTAATTTAATTTTTGGATAACTATTAATTTTTCGTAAGCTTGAATCTTCTGGAATTCTTGGAATTCTGATTCTTGTCACTTGATTCAAGGTAGGGAAGCAATAACAGTGCAGACAGTCACCCCTGTAGCGAGGCTTGCACTGGAGAAAGGCATCCAGCACTTTGTTTGGATATTGCATCATTTAATTACAGGATCTGCATTTAGTAGTAAAACAGTTTTTATAGGGGCTGTGGTTATTGTTTTTACTGTAATAGAAAAAAAACAGTTTATAAGGAAACATGTTTCCAAAAGTTTAGAAATTTAACATAATGGAAATTAAATCATGAAACAACAATTTCTGTGTCGCAGTAGGATATAGCACTAAAATTCAACGCATATGCAGGTTTTACATTGCAATAGCAGTTGTCAGTGAACTTTTTAGGATTAAATATACAGTGTAAGGTTAAAAAGTGTTGCTTCCCAGCAAACTAGGTAGTTAGAATTAAGACTGGTGCACAGGGGGAATCCTTTCCCAAAGGAGCTCAGAACAGTTGTCACCTAGAATCTAACACCAAGGTGTTAACAACTAACAACTAACTATGTGATAATAACACCTACGTTATTCTTGCAACAGCCAAAGAAACACAGGTTTTATTGGCAAACTTTTATTTACAAATCTGTGCCAGTAACATTAGAGAATTTGCTATACAGACAAAAATAGAAAAGTGCCCTATAGTGGCTTGTGTTGCATTAGAAATGCAGAGTAAACAGTCCTGAGGAAACAGAAAGTTGTGTGTTTTCCTACACTTCCAGCATATTATATATGGCAATCAGACGGGTACTAGTGCAGCTATCAAAGTCTAGAACACTTATGCTTAACAGAGGCCTTTGGTGCAGTTTTGGGTGTGCCTCTTTCCGCGAGGATGCCCTGCTACCCAGGGGAAAACAGGGAAGCTGTCTGTGTCTCTTCACAGCATCTGTGGCTGTCAGAGCCCCCCCGGGCCGTTTGTGGTGGTGCCCAGCACCCGGTGCCTCCCTGGGCTGTGATTCCGTATGGGGACACGCGGGCATCGCTTGGTGGTTGCGGACACCCCTCCGACAGGTCCTTGGGAAGGCGCGGAGCCCTCCGGAGCTGAGGACCTGCGCCCACCTTCACTGCTGCCCTCGTGCTCACCGTGGAGTCCTCCTCAGCACGCTGCTACCTTCCTCACCTTCACCTTTGCATCTATAACCAATGGCTGGTTTGGACTTAACACTAACTGACTAGCAGTACGGAGCTGTGGGAATGACTGCTCACTGGGCCACATTATGCTGTCTTCTATGTCAATACTACTCCAGAGTACCTTGCCAAAGAGAAAGAGACGACTGCAGGTGTAGCCTGTAGATTTGCCCTCACTTACTAGCTCTTCCAGCCTCTGGAATTAACAGCATTCAGCTGCAGTGCGTTACTTATAGCTAATGGTTAGCAAGAGAAAACCTGCCCAGGGTAATTTTCCAGGTTCTCTTCAGAAGGCTTTTTAAAAGGCTTGAGCTTTTTTCTTGCTATTTGTTTGAATAAACTGTGGGCAAATTCTTGGACCCATGAAGTCATTGGGCAAATTCTTGTTGGCTTCGAGTGCATGAGGATATTGCTTCTGGCATCTTTTGAAACCTGCTTCTTGCTGAACTCCTGCCTTGGACAACTCTCCTTCTGCAAATGTGAGCTAAGAGTATCCCTGTGCCGAGCTAGGAGCGTCAGATGCCCCATCGTGAAGTACCTGTTGCTACGTAGCTCGGCCTCCACGTGGCACACGGCTCCCGCCCAGGAGCGGGATCTCTCGCCTCCTGTGTGGAAATGTCTTCCCTGGCCACATCCAGGGACCCGTCTGCATCAGAGAAGATGCCTTCAAGAGGTTCAGTGGGAAAGAGAGTTTGGAAGTTCCTGCCCCAGAGCAGGCAAGAGGGAGGGAGAGAACCCTTTCCTCCCGGAGGATGGTAAGTGGCTTTCAGAGAGCCTTTCTTCTTCACTTCTTGGCCTGCCCAAACAAACCCGCATGCTTGGCTCTGCTCAGCGAGATGCAGCACTGCTCACAGGTTGCACTGCTCACACACAGCTTTGCTCGCAGGCACGGGAGGCCTAGCTCATCGTTTTCCTCCAAATGTGGCCTCTGTTTTTGTTCCGTTTTAATTTTTGTTGGTTTAAGATCACTTTGTTGCAGTCTCACACCAGCTGCTGGGCTTTTGTTTTAATTACACAGATGTCATGAAGAAAAGGATGTTTGTACATGACATCTGTGATCACATGCACATTACTTGGTTTTCTGAACCCTTCCTGTAAAAGAAGAGTCAGAAGAGCCCTCCTGCCCATCGATAGGAGAGGGAAGACACTCAGAAAGACCAGAAGAGAACAGCCTGTTCCTCAGTGCCATAACCTGAACAATTTCACCACCACAGCTATGAATCTACCATGTTAGGAGAAAAAAAAAAACCCCACACCCTGAATCATGGGTCTGTCTTATTGCCCAGAGCTTCCAATGCCACTTCAAACAGATCAGCAGCACTTGCAATAGTTAAACCAAGAACCTACCAGCAAAGGTGTCAAAAGGAAGAGCATCAGAGTGGGGCACAGCACCATGTGCAGCCCTCGTCCGAGCAGCAGGGGAAAAGACTTTGTGTAAGTCAGAGTTCAACAGCATGTTCACAGAAAAACTCTCTCGGGGAAGGGGCCAGAGTAGGAAATGATCGGGTGGTCAATTAAAGCACTAGAAAATTCAAAAATTAATGAAAGGGCTTGACCTTTTTTTTCGCTTTGTGACTAGTAATAGAGCCGTGTATGATATATCAAAGCTCACTTTCCCACTTTGGGATTTTTAGCAGCACATATTTTCATGGACACTCTTGTGAAAATCATATTGCACCTTTCAGCGAAGTGCTGCCTGAGGTGCATCTCGGCACAGGGAAGCAGCATGACTTTATCCTGCCTACACTCACACCCCAGCTCCGTGGAGGTGCCCGGGCTGGGAGCACAGGCCCCGTGGGCCGCTCTGCACCACCAGAGAGGAAGATGCACCTCAGATGTGGGAGTGGAGCCCTCCTCCCTGCACATCCCTCTTTCTCATCGCTGGCAAAACCCGGAGTGCAGGGCGGCCGCGTCCTGGGCTGGCTTCGAGTTACGTGAGACTCGGATCGTGGCAATAAGATTTGAGTGGAGCTTACTTATTATGTAAGTGTTTTTATCAAGAGAGAACATTATCTATCTTTATATTCATGTATCTAATTATCTGTCAGACATGAGCAAGCAAAATTTGTTACATTTCAGAAAGAGAGTCCCAGTCCTGGCACTCGAGCTTTTCATTCCGTAATTTCATCGCCCTGCTCTCATGTTTTTGTTTTTGGAAAAACTGTGCTGTCTATGATAGTTTGGTATGCCTATAGCTTACAGGTATTTCCATAAATGTTTAAGTAGCATGCCTACCTATATAGGTATACTTCAAGTACTATACCTATACAGTAGCTGTACTTACACAGTAATTTATAAAGAACTGTATGTACACTGTATTAATGCCCTTTGGGTCATGTTCCTTATGCTGGATGTCTAATCCTGAGGGACCAGAAAGTCCTATCTGGTCCTTTGAATAGTCAGCAACATAAAGATACAATCTGGACACTTAATGACCATGGTTAACAAGTGCAGGAAGTAATATCCCTCAGTAGCTGCATAATTATGTTATTGGAGAATATTTTTTAATCTTTATTCCAATATCATATTAATTGAGGAAAGGAAAAGAGTTGTGTTCATTCATATTTATTTCTCTTGCATACAACGTGTATTTTGGGCGCTCTTGTACATCCAGTCTCCCTGTGATATTGTTGGAGCAGCTCCAGCTTGCGGGGAGCAGATGGGATGTGCAGCACAGAGCAGCACCCGCAGCAAAGTCCCTGCCCAGCTTTAGCCATAGAAATGGTCCACTGTGACACCAACTGTTTCCCAAGGTCATGAGTCATTATCTATTGCACAGAGCCTGTTTTAGTTATTTTACTGGGTTTATGAGTTTTTCTCAGGAAATTCTGAAGTAGCAGAGAGCTGGTGAGTGTACTGACCTCTGGGTACAGGAATTGTCCTTCAGGAGTGATTGAGCTGTAGATATTTTCTCTTAGATATCTTCTGTCAGACCTCTGTTCAAAGACGGTCTTGTCTTTGGGGCATCTAATTTAACCAGTACATTTATTTGTAAACCATTAGGACTGATATTTATCTTTCTAAAATAACTCAAATTCCAGTGCAGTGAAACAACAAATGAAGACATGGAGTTGGTGGAGTGTAGGACACACAAAGGAAGTATCAGGACTAGTTTCCTCTTTGTAGAGAAGAAAACCAGTTTATCTCTCAAATGTTTGTAAAGCATTTAAACACTCCCCTCAGGTTTTATGGGAAGATGCTTTTTCTTGTAGAGATTTTCTTCAACAAAATATTTTGCATTGTGTCTTGAGGTGGATGAAGTTTTCTTTTTGGCTGTGCATTTGAATGAAAGCCCAGCAGCCACCTCATGGAAAGAGGCTGGGAAAGGGAGATGTGCTGAGGCTGGGCAGCCTCTCCCAGCTTTCCGAGGGCAGCGGCCACTCTGCCATCAATGCAGACCATAAATCTCACGTGAATTTGCTAAGGGTCCTTCCCAGACTGCTGCAGAAACTTGTTTTGGTGCCCTCTGCAAGTCCCACTGCTGTGAGGAAGATGATGGTGAAAGAAAAGTTAGAAAGAGGTGTCTAGGGAAAGGGTAAATCTTATTTCAGCAACTTCTTCTAACAAGTACTGCCTTGTTTCCTTTTAATGGCATCTTGTTGTATACCCAAAGTCCGTGTGAAGTTGGAATTGGAGTTTTATACTTGGCATTACAGAGTTGTTTTTTTCAGTTGACAGATGATTTTATATTATAGTCTCTTGTTCTGTGGCGCTGCCAATACAGACATTATTTGACAGATCTTAATGTAATTTACCTACCCTGTTTTGGGGCTATAGATGTCAGAAGAATTGGGGTGATAGTAAGAACGAGGTGGCAACAGAGATAGACCTTTCCTAAGACCTTGCAGAAAGTTAATGACTAAAACTAGATAGAAGAATTTAGTGTTGCGCATTAGAAGAGTTTTCTGCTTTTTGTTGTTGATGTTTTGCTTTGGAAGAAACATTTGCTTTAAGATTTTTTTTGTTTTGTTTTGAGGAAAAGTAGACAAAAATGAGAAATTGAAGTGTTAGTGTGTTTATCAGGTGTGCCTCACTAACGTGCGAGACATCCTGATTTACCTTTGTCCTCGGTCACATCCAGATGAGAAAATTTATCCAAACCTCCACATTCCCATAAGGTTTCTAGGCACCAGAGCATCAAGCACTTTTCACTATATATTAACTTGTAATTTTCATGTCTCACACTCAACAAATCCCTTGGCATGATGTAGCAGTGATATTAGCAACCTGATGCATGAGCAGAGGAGACTGAAGCCAGAAAGGAAGGAGCACCTGGAAAGAATTAGTCCTGGGACTAAGTGTGATGTCCCCTAGTTCAGCAAGAGCAGAGAGGATCAGGCCTCGCTCCACACGGTCAAACACAGCAGCCCTGGGCAGCAGCGTGGGTGCTACTGATGTGATCAAGCTGCTGTGTCGAGGGCTGGGGTGGCTTGTGAGCCTTGGCACCCAAAGGCTCTGTAGGACACACTGCAAATTCAGCTCGTGCTCTTCAGGATTATGCACTGGCAACATGATAATCGTGCTATCACGTTCATTATCATTGCAAACAGGCAATTTCCTACCAGTTCAACTTCAAGACATAGGCATTCTTGCTCAGTGTATTTTTATTTTGTTGCATATTAACACAAGGACTGGGCAAAAATGTCAAGCGTTAACATTTGTTCTCGCTATTAAACTGTTTTTTTTCCCCCAAGTCTTTCAACCTGATGTGTGTTCAGTAGGTCTAGTTTAGCAAATGACATTGCACAGGCCAGTTCTGGCCTTCATACTGCAAATGCCATTACCTGGATGGGATTATAGGAGAGGAATGTCCCATGTCTATGGTACTTTTAAGAAGATATTGGTGTGCAAAACCTAGCCAGCAAACAGAAAGAACATTAAAATAATCACAGTTTGTCTTGAAAATATATGTACCAGGGAGTGGAAAAAGACAAATAAATCGTCCATAATAAATGATTCACGAACTGCTACGCAGCATGGTGGCTGGTGTAAAAAAGGATATTGGAGCTGCCTACGCTTAGGTTTATTTTAGCTGCTGTTTTGCAGGGGATGGCAGCGTGTCTGCGTAGCTGATATGTTCTGCAGCACCGCTTCTATCTTTGGGAGGTGGCGGTTGGTATTTTGGGGCTCAGAACGTCACGGTCCTGCTGACGTGCCCCTGAACGCCGCCAGGGAGATGGACCCTGCTGGCAGGAGCCGTGGGCAGCGCGGCGGGGCGTGCGGGTGACGGCGCTTCCAGAGCGCTGCTGCCCGCTCCGTGGCCTTGCCTGGAGCATTAGGAGACGGGGGCGTTTCCCAAGGCCCGGAAGGGAAGCGGGCGCTCGGGCAGAAGGAAGATGCTGCTGTGTAAGTAGTAACACGTCTGCGCTGCACAGGGTGGCGGGAAGTGACGGATTCCCATTTGAAGACCTGGGAAGAGGAGCCGGCGGGTGGGAAGGACCGTCTCTCTTTTCAGCAGTGAGTTTTGGGTCAGGCCTAGACACCTGAAGAGGGAAATCCCACCGGCTCCATGCGGGACATGTCTCAGACGCGCTGTACACGATCCATGTGAAAACTAAATATCCAAACACAAAGATAAGGCATCCTAGTCTAAAAGAAAACATCCAGCTCCTCCATTTAGGAGGATATGCTGTCGATAGGTTACCTACATAAATCTAAATTTTTGAGTGCATTCAGGAACAAAACTCAAGTTGTGGTTTAAACCTGTTGTACCTGAGGTACTATCCAGGATGTAAGGTAGGATAAGCATGGTTTTATTTCAGTATAAAGATAGATAATTTTATCTGAAATTGTTCTATGCTGTGTCACACATTAAAAACTTTCTGTTACACAGGGATTTGAAAAAAGGAAAAAAAAGATCTTTCTGTTCTGTTTATGTTTGTGTTTGAGGACATGCTACATTGCTACTTCTGGTACTTTCATTCCAGAGTATATTTATTCCTTTTGCTCTGTTTCCTGCTGCGAATCTGAACACTTGCTCTATTGTGTCAAACACATTTCAAACTGACCCCAAACCCACCAAGTTGAATGAAGGATTCTCTGCTGGTTCCTCATGGCAGGAGCCTGGTGTATGCACACGGATTTAGGGTTTTAAGATTTGTGAAGGAAAGGCATGTGCATTATTTAATGTGCTCGGGCTTAAAGTTAATAATAAACACAGATTTCCTTCATGAATCATAAGAACTGTCAAAGCATTGCCGTGCATGTG